AGCAGTATATCTCCCCTAGCAGTATATACACCCCCTAGCAGTATATACACCCCCTAGCAGTATATACCTCCCCTAGCAGTATATACACCCCCCGCCCCAGCAATGCACTATAATAACTTCAGCTGTACATGTTAAAGCAGAACTCCAGTAAAACAAATACAAATAATAGGGGAGAGGTCCGGGGGTCCAGGTAGGGGCAGAGCTGTGATAACTAGTATCTGTACATTGGACCTTGGTGGGCGGTGTAGGCTCAGCCCCCTCATAGTATCATTCATAGTTCTTGTGTTGTGTCTGTTTCAGGAACAAGAAAGCAGATTTCAGAAAGAGAAGATACACATGGAACATCAGTGGGAGAAGAAGGTACATGACATTGTATAGATCCGTGTATTGTATGAGGACTGTGCTACCTGTGCTGGCCAGAGGATGGCATCACATACGGAACAGTAGACACCTCGTACAGTGCTCAGTCTGGGGGGTCATTTGGACACTTCCATTCAATGAAGGTCATTTAAAGTGACTTGACCTCACTCTGCCGGCCCTTCCCATGATGGTTTCTTGTACAGGATTTCCTTGCAGTCATCAGTGACAGTCTCATACATGTTGCCTCCTCCTCAGGCTGTGATCCAAGGTGTCCGGTGCTGTGCATTGTAATGTGATTCCTGGTGGGATCACAGGTGAAAATAATACAATAATCTCATGTGTTCTCCAGCAAATGTACAGTCCCGGCCTAAAAGCTTCCCGTCTGTTCTTCTAACTCCATCAGCATGAGAGAGCGGTCTCCAGCCTTGTCCTCGTCAGCACTGACACCTGCGTTACCGAGAGAATCACCGCCATGATGTCAGCTGCTCCTCCTGTGGCTGAAATGCAGGATATGTTTTGGGGGATGAAGTTCATCTTCATGGCAAAGAGATCCGATGGCTCTTCATAGAATATGCAAATTGTCATCATACAAACTGAAGCAGCATTAAAGGAGAACTATGGGGTTAGGGCTTTTCCCCCATAGTTCTCCTTAGGGTAACGGGAGGATACAAACTAGCGTCCTCCCGTCACCCTAGGCTCAGTATATAGGGGGCCACAGCTCGCGGTATACTGAGACGCCGCAGCCGGAGCGGATCCCGACTTAGATGACGGGATCCGCCCAGCTGCATGACTGACAGCTGGCTCCTCCTATCTAGAGGCAGAGCCAACTGTACCCG